TTGAACCCCCATTTGTGGATAAATACAGACTCTTTGTGTTAAGAGGGAGGGGGTGGTTCTCAAAACATCCCCATGGGGGGCACGTTTGCACCTGGGGGATTTGTACAGTTGGCGACTTAAGAGCACAGTGGCGAATAAAACACATTAAGGTTTTCGTGGTCGATGGATCCTGAAGAATGTACGCTGAATGACACGATCTGAGGCAGCAGATGTGACAGACCGGAGCCCTTGGGGCTTCAGCATTCACATCAGCGCTGGGGCCATGGTCTCTTTCCTCCGTGAAGGGAACCAATTTTCTCCAGGTGGCTGATGTTGTGAGGAACCTTTATTGTTTCTGTGACTGAAAAAAAAACGTCAGACTCCAGGGTAATCTGTATGGAGAAAAATGGCTGTTCTTTGTGGACGGGACCAGGCTTGAGAGTCTCATTGAATTAATTAGTGAACAGAATTAAGCTCTGGAATGCAACATCGTATAAAGTAATATAATGGAATGCAACAAGAGGGAACCCACGCTCATCCCCATGCAAACCGCAATCTAGCTAGTGTGCATTACAGGCAGGCCATGCTGTCCTTACAGTGCAGGGCGTGGCCTGAATGTTTCAGATCTAACAGCGAAAATATGTGTCTAGTCAAATAAAATGCTAGGGTTAGGCTTCAAGCGAAATGGTCTATGTTTTGAGAATTTCAATTAATAATGGTTCAGGTCCTAAGTTAGTAAGTTGTTTTTGCTCTCCAAAAATGAGCTAAACGGGGAAGCGTTTGCTTCCGAGACCCTGGGTGAACATTGTTTTTTTTGTGCCAAACAAATTCTTTGGAAATTTGTTCAGTGGAAGTAATTGTGTACATATGTATTTTAATCCATCAGTTCCAGTTCATAAAAGCGGAATCTTACTTACGGGATACCTTTGAAATGAAGCAGTTATTGTAGCGACGAGCAATTACCAGCAACTACGGTAAGTCACGGTTTAAAAAGAGGCCACACCGGCAGTGCAGCAAATGAGTGACCACAAGAGAAGACACTTCTTCAAGGATGTTGAGTTCATCGAGACCTCCAAGACAGGCAGCTTACCCTCAAAAACCAGCCCTGAATCCAGGGAAAAGGCAAAGGCTTCAATTCAAAGGCACATTAAGGATTCCCTCGACAAACAAAGAAAAGGATAAGTACCATTTTCTAACAAAAGGGGGTGTCGTTGTTAACTAATCAGGCTCAGTCACCTATGGTTCAGTATTCAGCTGTGACCAGAACATAGACTGTACAGCAGCTGTAGAAAATGGGGTGAACAGAGGGTGCAGAGCAAGAGGCAGAGCAAAAAAGGTATTCGCTGACCCATTTACCATGGCCTGTACAATTAGGCAGTGAAATAAAACCCGTGCAGCAGAGAGTTGGGTGAGAACAAGCAAGGCTAATATTTACACGGGACAGAAATCAGGCTGTGGTGTGGAGGCACTCGAGTCTGGCAGATAATTACAGTAATAAGTGTGTTTACCGGCATATAATTAAAGGCGGGTGTGTCCACGGGGCTGCAACAGCTATCTGCACCACCACTGAGCCCCCCCCCCCCCGCTCCCAAGACCTCCGGCAAAAGCACGACTGTTGGTGTACAAGGTCAGGTGAAGGGTGAAATCCCCACCTCCCCGCAGAACGCAATTAGCGTTTATGACGCCGTCTGAGAGGGATGGAAATGAACGAGCTGCAAGAACCTTGCTGGAAAACAGAACGAAGGGATAAGTAGGTGGGACAAAACTATTAGCATATTCTGAGCATAAGAACCTTCTAGAAACGAGGCTGGTGGCCACACCTCTGAACCGCAGAGCCCGGTCTTCACTTCGCCATCGCTCGGACCTCTCCGGCCACACCCACCACCTCCAAAGTCCTCCCGTCAAACAAAACTTCTGGTCTAACTCCTTAAGTGCCGGGTTACCAGCTGCCCAATTACCGCTGACCTTTGACCTCATTTACGGAAGAGAGGCACAAAACATGCGGCAATCGAAGCGGTTTGATACGCAGATATCGCTAATGATAGTGTGCGCCTCCGGTTATCTCCTTAAATCCCTCATCGAGGTTGGTGGTTTCAGATGTAATTTCAATTTCGCGAAGTTTACGGAGGGATTAATTGCAGCCCTCTGTGGAGATCGCTAACAGGGCCGCGCAGAGGCCAGAAGTTTCTCTTAATTAAAAGGATGTTCTGCCGCGAAGTTTAGGGATTCCGACATTGACGGTGCAGTTTGCGCTAATTACAGCCCCCATCTCTGAGTCGTCACGGAGACCTTATTTTCTTCACAAAAACAAAGTCAAACATGGCGACCTCTGGCCCATCGCTGCCCGAGCTGCGTATCCACAAAGGCCCAGGGGGTGTGCTGCCCCTCAATGCAAGACCTTCGGTCACTTTCCCCGTGAATCACAACACTTGCGTCAAGATGGCGACGCAGGTGATAGCAATGAGCGGATATTTAAACTTTTCATTTATACATCCAAAGTTATAGCCACTGCCACTTCTAGCACAGTGCTGGCAACACTGTCCTCATTACCGTAATTCCTCAAGTACGCCGCACCCTCATCATTATAGTGCCTGTAGAACTTCCTGAGAAGCCACGCGTGGGAGCCACTCATCTGCTGCCCCGTGTGGTGACTGTTATCGCAGCGATCAGCATTCAACGGAGGCCAAACTCTCCAGAGCGGGTCATCAGAAATGGGCCCCAGCCATCTGGAACTCCTGCGAAGCAGGGTGGGGTTTGGACTCCTTAGAAGGCTGAGATGTTCCTATAAGCACCACCAGGCTAACCCCCCGCCTCCCCCCCCCCCACAACTGGCGTGTATGTAGGTCTTCCATGTGACAGCGCAGCTGGCAAATCCAGGAAACGCTAGCCTGCTTTAAAGGCAGAGCACTGGGGGGGGGGGTGCTTCATTCCATCCACGACCCCAGGGCTCGCAGGCCTCCAGTACCCTCCCCCAAAACGCCAGCTCGGATACGCCGATGGCAACAGCTGAGCCCTTAACGCAGGGTGTGAACATCTCACACCGTTAGAACCACACAGAACAATCAATCCCGTGCCTAAAGGATGATTAAGCGCACGTTCAAACCCATGTTTGTCACCAGGTCAGCATGGACTTGTGTGTGGAGCGTGTGTACACAGGGAGCGCCTGGTTCAGAGCAGAGCCGTACTTCGGCACTACAAAGGCGTCATGCTCCTTGTTGGGGTGACAGTTTGGACAGGAAGGTCACAGACTCCTGTTTCCGGGCTCTTTGTTGAAAACTCCTCCCAGATTCCTCCAGATTCTCCTTCCTCAGCCTGGACACATCCTGAGGTGTCTAACGGCTCGGCCTTCACTCACTCTCTTGGATGTCTGGGCATTATGTGTCCTTCACATCAGCCATTCTCTCCAGGCACGGTGGCCACCTTCCCACAATGTCTGGTGACCCAATAAGACTGGGAGGTGGGGATGCGTACCTCTTACTTTACTTACCTAAGACAGTGCAGTGGTACCCCTCTGCTGCCTGATTTTACCTGACGACACCTGGAGCACACAAAACTCTTAGTATCTCTCTGAGGCTGTGTCACGGATCTTGAACAGATGACCAAACATCTCCGTGGCATCATTCAATGGTCTGCAGAAGACCATGGTGCTGCAATATGGCTCAGCACTTCCATGTTAAGGGTGAGCTGTAGAGAAAAGCTGGTGCAATGCAAATCATGCACAGAGTGAGCACCTCTGTGCTATGCTATATGTGCACCATTCAGGATTCTGAGGATCTCCCGGTAGTTTAAGTCCTGCTACCATTCACAGTAGCCAAGATCAGAGTTGCAACATTCCATGCTTCTGATTCACTGCAGTGTAGCAAAATGCTACTTTTGCCCCAAACCAAAAAGAGTATGTGGGCTGGTACCTTGTCGAATATGTGTGACTGGCTGGGACCAGTCAGCCTCAAACGCCAAAAGGCAAAGAGTCACAGACGTGTGACATACTGCAAAATCCATCAACCACGTCAGTTGTTCCTTAACTCTACTTGAAAAACTTCGGAAAAAGCACTTTTGACATCAGTATCCTAAAAGCTCTGACTGTGAGAGAAGTTTGGGAGGGGGGCAGAATAGTGTGATTTAAGAGGTGGGAAGCTGGGAGAAAGTTTGCTAGCTTATTGCCGGTCGTTGAGATCTCACCCATAGTATAGCTCCCTATTATTCAAATCATGGTCCTCGACGTCCGAGCACTGCTGGTTTTCTAGCCTTCATTTGCCTGTATGCCAGGTGTGAAGTCTCTGACCAATCAGGAATCAGTAATTATTAAACTAGCTACTTGGGAGAACTGAAAACAAGGCCTGGATTTGGAATCGAGGTCCAGATTTGAAGAATCCTGGTATAGCTAATATTGCGTTCCATTTAAACTCGCGAGTGGAATTCTGACTCGGAAAGTCGAAGGCACCTCTGCAACCCTGACCTCAGAATTCAAGATGGCTGCACCCTTCATCAACGGAAGTGAAAGCTGTAGTTATAAACTGTTTATTAGCACTTATATCTTATTTGTGTTTCATTACATTGATCGTACACACAGTGCTGTTCAACTGCTATCTGTGGAGATGTTGCTATGGTGTTTTTATGCACAAAACACTGCATAATGCGCTATCAACTGCTAACAATTGCTAACAATCAACCTGGCTAGAGCTGAGGCCTGTTTCAGAAAGCAGGTTTTCTTGTTATGCCAGACAACTTGTCAGATTTATGGGATTCTGGGCTAAATGTAAGTGAACAAAGATAAAGGCCGTTTAAACTGGGGTACCCTAAATCCAACAAGTTATCCAGCTAAGCAAGAAATCCTGTTTTTGAAACAGGTCCTCGGTATTGCTACATGGCTTTCCGACTTGCTGCATTGGACGCGGTTAACTCAGGTGTGACATCATTCCCAGCTCTTCTCCAAGGTAAACGGGATGCAGCAGAACTGTCAATGGAGTTGACCGTCCTGCCCGGATCCCACAGAATGATGCCATTGGCTGTCTTATACCAAAGCCCCGATCCTTCCAGCCATTACTAATCTTTCGTCACCTCACGCCGCGGGAGTCTGAAATGATGGCCTACAGTCGCTACAGCGTCATGGTTGGCCTGGCACTAACCTACTGCTGGCACTCAACCTGGCAGAAGGGTAGCCCCACGGCCATGCCCATGCAGTCGCGGCCAAACGGCAGCCACACCAGGAACTCGGAGCTCGACCGCCTCCAAAGTGATCCACGAAAGCCGGGCGACAGGGAACCATTTTACACTAATGAGGAACGTGCACAAGGCTCAGCCCTGGCGTGCAAATCACTCTAACATGACACACTTACACGTCAAGACCCAACTTCGGGAATATCTGGTCAGACTACTGTCTGATCCAAACCCAATGGATCCTTTGCTTGTTCCTATAGTACCCTCATGTATACAGATAAAATTGCAGCAAAACAGCAAAAATGAAACATCATAAAACAGAGACTACATCTCAACATCTACATCATGAGAACCTCTCAGCGCGTGCACACACACACACACACACACACACAGACACACGCGCAGCCAACAATAAACATCTAGCAATAAACAATCAGTGACCAGCGGCGCCTCACCATCAGATACTGGAAATACCGACGATCTCAGCAGACATGGAAACTAACAACGAAAATCAGAACATAAACACAGAAAGCTCATCCCCAGCTCATGGCTGCATAACTGAGCAGAAACACAAACTGTGTGCGTGCGTATACACACACAGACACACAGACAGACACACAGACAGACACACAGACAGACACACAGACAGACACACAGACAGACACACAGACAGACACACAGACAGACCTGAATCAGAGCTGGGGTCCATCTCTCCGCTTAACTTTTCAGAGGATGAAAATCAGGTTCATGCATTTCAAGGCCAGCTCTCCATGACAGCTTGACCCCATCACTGGGCTATGCTGCTCTTTACACACACACACACACACACACACACACACTCACCATTGTGGGCAGTCTCTGTGTGCTGGGCCACCTTCCTCAGCGCAGAGACGATGGTATCTCCGGGTATGCAAGGGCTCTCCACGTACTTGGGCTTCCTGATTGGACCTGTGGGTAAGACGAGTGAGCGAGCAAGCAAGAGAGAGAGAGAGAGAGAGAGAGAGGAAGAGAGAGAGGAAGAGAGAGAGCAAGATCGTTGAAGAGGGAGAGAATAGGGAAAAAAGAGTGAAAGAGAGAGATTAAGTGAGTGGAAGAGAAAAGGAACAGAGAGAATGAGCAAGAGAGAGAGGAAGAAAGAGAATCTATACTGGATTAAATGCTTCCAGATGGGATGTGGGGTAAGGAATCTGACTCCCAGTGGGGCTGGCCTGGCCCAGCACGGCCCGGCCCGGCTCTCCTGTCCCCGTGATTGTGCGAGCATGCTGCACGGAGTCCTGGTATAAGACAGCAGGCTACAGGACGGCGAACAGCAGCAGGAAACCACGGCAACTGATCACTGGGGAATGTCGTGACGTGCGTTTGTTTGCACCGGTTTGTTTGCTGGTGGGCCTGCGCGCGTGCTTGTGTTTGTGTGTGTGTGTAAGACCCATGTTCATGCCTTCAGGGACACTCTGTGCCTCTAACTCCCAGGCGGGCTTCACCATTCAGGCTAACGGCCTATCAGAACCGCCGCTCAGAACTGCCAGTCAGAGACTCAACGGGCTGAGAAACTCCTCAGTAGAGAGGATCAATCCATTCTGCCTCATAGGTAAGGCGTCGCTGCGCTCCAGACTGCCCCCGCATCCTCGCACCGTGGACTGCGATGACCCCCCCCATCACCCAGTCCCTGACAAGCTGGCACCAGGAACCAGAGCTCGTCCTTCGGCGCCGCAGATGGGCTCACCGTGAGAGCGAGGCGCCGCAACCAGTACCGACCCGTTAAATTATTTGCCGCGAAGCCGGATGACGCACGACACGATTGGCTATGGGCAGCTGGTAGCCAGGCCGCTCCCCCCCCCCACAGCCCCCTGTGTGGGACTCAGCACGTCCTACCCCCCCGAAATGGAACGACCCAGTTCCACAACACAGGAAAATGGACAAGCTTTGAGCCCCCATGAGGTCTGCAGTTAAAAAAATAATACTGAAGTCACACCCCCCCCCACACACACACACACACACTCAAACACTCCGCCTGACTCACTGTAGGTCCAGACGACGTCGCATGGCTAACCTAATCGTACCATGGGGCGTGGTGATGCGATGAGCTGGTATCCCTGTCCCGTTCTGATCCGTACCTCCCAGTTTGGACTGTCTGGGTTCATGTCCCCAATCCCAAAAGAGGGACACTGGAGCTGGGCCTCACTGGCCCAATAACAACTTGATTTATGCTGCCACCTATGGACACATACAGTGAAGTGCAGGCTACAGGCGGCCCACTGCCGACCTGGATGGGGGCCCGCAGTTATGCAGGGACTAAAAAGGTAGTGTGAGGTAACAGAGGCGAGTGTGGGGGGGAATTAGTACAAACAAAAATACATGAAGAGAGGATCATGGGAAACAGTGGGAGGAGTCTGACACTGTTTGGGGAAAATGCTGCATAGGCAGACATGCAAATTCAGCTAATATGCTAAGCAGCCTGCCCCCATAACCTACCGCGATGAAACCTGCGTGGTTCCGCTCAAGGAGCACCGACGAGCTGCTGACTCGGCATACGTAACGTTACCCACGGCGGCAGCACCCTCCACTGCAGACTGGGTCAGCGGTAACTCACGGCCTCTGTGGCCAGCAAGCAGAAGCCCACGCTGTACCCTTTCCCTATGCGAGGCGGATGTTGTCTCTGCGCTCTGCCAGTCAGGCTCTACTGCTGCCTGTAGATACTTTGCCTGCTTAAAAGATTTCAAGGACGACGGTTAAGGCGGTAGGGAAAGAAGGTCTGATTAGGAACAGAACACTAAGCTTCTGAATGAATTTATTTTCTCCTACATAATTAACCCTTTGGGGCCCCAAACGGAGCCGGGGAAAATGGTCCAGTCCTAAAAATAGGTCAACTCCGTAGATGGAGATGCTTCTTCACAAAGCACAGCTTAATATATGCTGCTTTAATGACTGGGGGGCACAGAAATCAGAGCTAGGCTAACACTGGGCCCCACTATCCCGCCCGGGCTTATCAATGGCTGACACTGTCACCCCTCCATGGGGAGGTGGAAACGTGACGGGGGCCGGCCCCAAGCTTCACCCCTCCTTCTCCTCTTCTACATGAGAGCCCCAGACAGTCAGGAAAGTGCTACTGTGCTAAGCTACGAGGAGCTAGCACCCGCGTCGCCAAAGGCGTGGATCTCAGATCCAGACTCCGCAGGTAAAATACTTACTGCACATTTACCTTTACCATTCATTTCCATGACTGATGGGTCTAATTCAATAGGACTTACGGGTTGCCAGCTTACACACCTGGAAATCTGACTGGGTTTTATGTTAACAGTCTTGCTCAAGGGTACAACAGCAGGAACGTTAATGACTTTAACCGCTTTCAGTTGCCTTAATTGCCATCCCATGCTAGCATTAAACATGCCAGAATGCAGAGGGCTTAACGATGTTTGAGTGATGGACTCAGATGGATGCCATGAAGTCAGAGCATGTCTCCACCCCCCTCCACCCCCACCAAACTGGATAATCCAGCACCACCAATTACCTCCCGATTGGGCCTGGGGTCTCGTTATGCAGATACGTAAATTAAAAGGAACGGCAAGGGGGCTCCAGTTACTGCTGGGGGGGAAGCAAATAGGTGTTTTATCTCCCCCCTGCAGTCATATGACTCATGAGGCTTCAGAGTTCTCCCATTAGGCAGCAAAGCCAAATAAATTAGGACTCATGAGGATATGAACTCCACACCTGCTCCTGTCGTCCTGGGTTAGACTCAGTGGTGTCTCTGTGGGCTGGGGGGGAGACAGCTGATCTGCAGCGATATGGGGTCCCGGTATTACCCAGACAGCCCCACGTGCTACGGGGTCCTGATGTTACCCAGAGAGCCCCACGTGCTACGGGGTCCCGATGTTACCCAGAGAGCCCCGCGTGCTACTGGATCCTGATGATACCCAGAGAGAGCCCTGCAGGATGCATGCAATCAGCTTGCAATGTGACCTGAGCTGCGATAGCCCCGCATGGCCAGCAGGGGTCTATTGCTGGTGTGATCTGGCAGGGCCACCCTACTGCCGAGATCTGTGAAGTCATGGCTGTAAAGAGAAGCACGTGTCCGGCACAGTGGCAGTAAGCCGGGCCCATCACTGATCAAAGGCTGCGTGGTCACCGCTAGCGACACACTACTCATTAGCGTGTTTCTCCCATGACCCGTGAGACGGGGTCCTACCAAAAAAATGGCTGTTTAGGACCCGTCAGAAAATTATTCACAGACTAAACAGGGGTGCAATGTGAAGGGAGGAAACACAGATTCCCATTAAAGGCCACTAATGACTCGCCTCCTGCTGAGCCCAAGGCTGCAAGGGGAAGAGGGGCTCAGTCTGGGGGGCATAAAGAATAGCCACGCCCCCAGAGGCTCCTGATTGGTCATTAGGGGCTTCCCAAACATTCCACAGATGCCCCGGTGACTCAGCCTGACTGGAAACCGTCAAAATCGCCACAAAAAAAGGTCAAGCAATTTTGCAGCATGTCACACTACTTCCTGGTCAATAGCCTGCAGATGTTCGACTGGAAAAGTGAACAGATTTGGGGTCAGGAGTCCCACACAAAGAGATCCTGATTCGTAACCTTTGAACAGTACACAGAAAGAAAAAAACAATTAAAGGAACGATGGAATGAGAAGTAAAAGCACATTAATAACAGTACCAAACAAGAATGATATGTTATGGAGATGTGGCAATTTACCGTCCTGAGTTCTGTGCTCAAATTCTCTTCCGTTCTATGAAATAGGAGGTTCCCCTGAGTGCCATAACTCCGCACCCACCCACCATTTTCATTGACCTGACAGAGAGGGTCCATTTCCCAGGTCTTCCCCAAAAGGACTGCAGTGATTTTCTACCTTGCGGCTCTGATATTCAATCTGAAACCATCTTTACCTTGTACTTCCAGCAAAGTCATTCCACACAGAAAAAATAAATAATTTTGACTCCGTTCTTGGTTAATAGGAGTCATGCTGAAGTCTGACTCAAGCCCGCTGACCAAGAAGGCACACAGAGCAGAAATGGAGTCCATTGTGGTTAAGATCTGTGAATTTTCATGGGGAATTTAACCAGAGGATGTGATAGAAAATCAGATGAAAATGGCCGACTGAAAGCAATTATGTCTGAGGGTTTGTCTGTTTTGAATAGAAGGTGCCTTTTCACTTTGAACGAAAAACACCCAATCCCCAATCGAAACATCACAAGACAAAACGAAACAGAGTAATTAGGACGGCCTTTTCTTACCCCAGTTACAGGCTGACGAAAGAGCCGGCATCGTAAGAACAAAGACGACTGGGCTCTGATTTTTTGGAACAAACACCCACAGCCTCTTAAATGTAGATGAAAGATTTCCATACATTTGAAACAATTCAGCCGCTGGAATCCTGCTGAATCTGAACCAAATGTCTGTAATCACTGCGATACATGCTTGACCATAGGAACAAGTGGAAGGACCATAAGCAGGTTGGAACGAGCACCAAAGATGTTAAACAGACAAAGCCAGGGAACTGACTGCAATTACACAATACAGCCAAATGTATGTACACAGCCCTATTAAGCAGAGGAATCACTGACACAGGTGTTTAATTAAGCACAGTCTCACAGTCTCCTGTAACAAACATTATCAGCAGAATTGGTGCTTGTACAGGAGAGGTTAGTGACTTCCCACTCAGCACCATCATAGGACGTACATACTTTCCAACACATCAGTCAGATTTCCTCAAGTGAAGTGATTCTGAAGATCAAACAGTCAGGGAGCCAGTTCAATTGCAGAGTCAGCCACACGATCTCACAGGAAGGGACCTGATCACCCAACATCAATACCCAACACAAATGGCTACAGATTCCCCCAGCAATGTTCCAATATCTAATGGAAAGACTCCCCAGGAGAGCAGAGGTGATTATAGTAACATTGGGCTGACCGACTTCATATTAATATCCCTGATTTTGGAATGAGATGTTGGACAAGCTGGTGTCCACATACTCTTTAATGTATGCGATTGGTCGGCCATGTTCTTAGCATCTAATGCTGGAGCAGGTGAGCGAGCAGATGAAAGGGTGGGAGAGACAGGGTTAGGGTTAGGTTGCGGGGCTGGGGGCGGAGCCGTACCTGGGGACTTCCTGGTGGAACGTGTGGCCATCATGTAGGACTGTCGGGGAAGCAGCGGCGAGGATGGGAGGGACATGGACGTCCCTTTGGCCAGGCTCAGGCGAACCAGGTCCTCGGGGACGAGGGAGCGGGAGCCGCCTGGGTCTTGGTGATGGGCCGCCCCACCCAGTGGAAATCTGCGGGGGGCGCTGTGGCCATAAAACTCGCAGGCTGCAGAGGAAGGAGAGGAACAAGGCTGTGTTTATGCCAAGGGCCACTGGCTTGAAATGGCAGTTCGCTTAAATCCTTCCTAGGGAAGATTCCCCATCTTTCCGGCCTTCCTTAATATCTGCTGACCCTGCGCAGCTTCAGACAGCCAATCAGATCTGCTCACTGACTGCGCCGGCTGCACAGAAACCAGCCAGCCTTCTGGAATTGCAGGCAATTAAAAATCACAAGGAGCAGACACATTAAAATACAGTGGAATCCCTTCATATGCTTGTGAGTGGCTTTATAATGGCGATCTCAATCTCAACAAATAATCGCAGGAAAAAACGAACAGAATGACCATGTCAGTTGCTAATTACAGATGTCTTAGGTCATGTTTATTTATCACTCAGGAATAATTAAGCACAAATAGGCATGATCGTCTCTCTCGTGCTCAAAGCGTCCTGTTGAAACACCATCCTGATTCGCAGAGGGCTGTGTCCCAGTACTCCTAAACATTCAGATGAAAGGGGGATGCTCAGATTAAACCTTATTTAAGGGGGCACATGGCCGCAGTGGTCGAACCATGAGATGCCCACATATCTGTAGGTGGGGGGGGCTGGTGAGAAGCTGTCAGACAACAAGGCCGCCAGTCATGGGCGTCCTGACATTAACGTGGCAGGAGAGGGGAGGACCTGGCCAAACGGCACCTCCCGGTCCTAAAGCCCGCCAGACGCCGTCGGTGGGGAAATCGCTCGCCTCGCAATTCCGCGGCGTGGGTGTCCAGGAGGGGGGCTCTCTGCGGGCCGGAGCTCCGCACCAAAGGCCTGTGTTTACACTGACAGATGGCTGCTGGGAGAGCAGCACAGGTGCTTTTTATAAAAAGACACGTTCTCTTTGCGCGGCGGTAGGAACACAGGCATCTGAGGAGAAGCAGGCATGGCGGAAAGATTTTTTTTTAGTTTTTAGGGTTACCGTTAGGAAGTGCTGACCCCTGACATGACTAAATTTAACCCCCCCCAGGTGCTAAAACTGTTTCACATCCATTGAAAATTCAATGAATTTTAGAAAAAGTAATGAGTTGTGTCAGTGTTGAGAAGTCAGCTGAACCCACCTTCCCAAAGACTCCCTCCCTCACACACACACACACACACACACACACACGTTTGCAGTCATATATTTATTGGGAATCTCCTTTTAATTTAGTGTAAAAAACCCTAATCCCAACAATGATAACCCTAACCCTACCCAGCACTAACCTTAACCATAAGTAACAAATAACATACTTTGGCTTTTTTAGTTTTTTGATTGCAGTTGAGTTTCCCCTTGGAAACATCATTCCCACAATATCAAAATGTATACATAACTACCCCCACCACCACACACACACACACACTCAGGACCGGCTGACTTCATAAGCACCAGCCCACCCCAAACTTCCCCTTTCATGGCCGCCAATCTCCCCCCCGCCCCAGTCCACCCACAGCTTAAAACCTTCTGCTCATGCAGTTCTGAGTAAAGAGCAGGAAAGGAGCTGGATTGCCCGCCCCCCCCTCACGGCGGCCCGCGCCAGAAGCAGAGCCGGGCAGCCCCCAGGTTCCCAATTTGGGGATGGGAGCTGCTTCTGGCCTGACCCAGGGGCCAGCAGTGGTGTGGAGAGGGGCCAGCGATTGCCCGCTTGAGTGCATGCTGGAAATCAGTGCTGGCAGCCAGAAATAAAAGGGGGGGAAGGAAGAAGGGAGAGAGCGAGAGAGAGAGAGAGAGAGAGGGAGGGAGAGGGAGGGAGAGGAAGTAATATGGCAGCGTGTGACAGGCCCAGGGCTTCCGTGGTGTGGCCTGCAGGTTACTGATGAGGTACAAGACGATTAAAAAACATATATATTAAAATACCCATTTTCACTGCAGGCCGCAGAATGTCCAGAAACGATGGGCCTGTTTGAGAATGTGCTGGAAACTCACTCCGGGAAATCGAGAGAGCTCGGTTTGTTAGTGACAAGAACACGGAGCAAACTCCCAGAATGCCCTGCAGCACATCACAGCTGCGAGTTAATCAACCCACATTTGATTAACATTTTTTTAACTTGATATTCAGCACAAAGTTTGATCTTTGATATTTCTGAAGCAAATAGGGACACATTGAGTCCTGCAGACAGTGAACGTAGGAACCCTTAAAATGAAGGTGTTTCCATTGGCAATTGGGTTGAATGTTGGACGGCATGGATGTAAGCATGATGGTGGAGGCAGGGCTCTAAAGCAGCACCAGCCACCAGAGGCTAAGCTCCACCTCGTTGGATTAGCTTTGACAGGTGGTCAAAAGCAGCTTCTATTGGTTGGGAGTTCATACACATTAGCCATCAGAAGCAAAAGCCAAACATGTACCCAGAAATATATGTAATGCTGTGGTATTAGGTTCCATAATCAGTACCCCCTGTTGTTATGGAGGAAGATGCACTCAATCATGCTGAGACCACATGACTTTGGCATATCTGGCTTGCAGAGATAACACCCCCAGAAGCGTGTAACCCATAAACCTGTCCCGTCTGGCTGGACGGCCCCATTTATTGTTTTGGTTTTCGTGACACCATTTGTCTGTTGAAAGTTCTAGTTTGAACTGCAGCTGGAGAAGCAGAAGCATCTGATGAGCACTCTGAAGAACGTCCTTCAGAATGGGGCCGTGCTGTGCTTATTAGCAGTCCTTTCCTGCACGAACGCAGTCCCCCCCCCGCAATCTAAATCCTGACATACAAACCCCCGAGTCCTGGAGCTGGAGTGTTTGGCCATGGATGCCTTTTGCTGGAACTATGAGTCTGTTGGAGACCCCCTAGGACACAGCTCCTCCGCAAATTAATGTTACAAATCCAGACACGAGAAGAGTCCAGTCAGAAAACAGCAAGCAGGCCGCTGCTCCCTTGTTGTTTGGCTGATAGTGTGCATAACCCAATCACAGCCTCAGATGTCTGAGAGTGGGCAGGGTCTTCGTTCAACCCACCCAATGATACTAAATTCCTTAAAGAGACAGTGATGTTTTTTCTTGATTTCTAACAGTAGAACCTCGTGATTTCACTCAGTTGCACTGAATTGTGCAGAACTTTGATGGTGACACTTGCAGGCTTTTCCTCATTTTTCCCAACCAGCTCTCTTTTATTCAACCAACCACAACACAGCTGGAGAAAAAAAAATGCACGTTATAGCAAAATGTAAGCACTTATCCATGAAAGCACGGCAAAAAACGGGGAGAGGGGAACAAACCTCTGGGCCAAGATGAATATGCAACAGCAGCAATGATTGGGGGGTTGATGGCCATTAAAAACGGGAGGAACCACATTAAAAAGCCAGAGAGAATGCAGGGCAGGACCGGCTCTCGTGGTTAACGGTGGTCAGCTGCTGAGGTTCCGCTGGGAGGGAGTCCAGCACCCCAACCCGCTACAGTTATTTCGGAGACTCTCCGAGCTCCGACCCAGGCCTACAATTTGAGCCCTGGTGTGGACGGGAAATGTCCTCCTTGTAATTATACCGCACCAAGCCAAGAGGGATAGAAAACAGACTCCATTCCATTACAAATCATCCCAGTCTTCAAATGGCACGACCCGCTGCCAAGCTTTCGATGAAACCTTATCGTAGCATTTAAAGTCACACCTCCAACTGAAATCGACTATCTGGGGGACACCTCACCCCCCCCCCCCACAGCAAAGCTAAGCTGACTCTGCTCTACAAAGTCTCTTTTTAACTCTGACTATGGTTTAACTTTGACTAAGGTCTCTGGAGAAGGGACTATTAATTTTACCCACTGCTTCACTTGAAGGGAATGATTTTACCCAAGACTTTTATAAGCAGGAATCTCTGGTGCTCCTTCCAAGCTTTAGGAAAAACAGGAACCAGAAAATGACCACACCTTCTGTGTTTAAATATGGTGTTATGGGGCGTGTCCAAAAATGACCCCGCCCACCGAGGTAGAACATTATATAAAAAGCATGTTAACTTACAGACATTACCAATGGATCAGGCAGATATACATAGTATCACATTTCAAAATTCTGCTTGACAGCTTCCCAGCAATTTGTGCTAGATCTTGATCTGGAGTAGATCTTCTTGTAACTCAGTGTTTTCTCACTTTGACGGAGGTGACGAGGAGGTGGAGGAAATGTCCTTGCAGATACATAAAAATCTGGCTCTCTGGATCCTATGGTGGTTCTTCATGAAGCAGGAGAATCACGACTTGACAGCATGTGTAAGTGACAGCTAGCGTTAACCACTTCCCCGCAGACCCGCTAAAGATCTGCTAAATGTTGGACAAGCACACTGAACGTCAGTAACATTATAGCATAATATGACGCCCTTTCTAAAAATGCCAGACAGGAAGGGGGAAACGTTCCCACGAGGAAAGTTAGTCAGTCAGACATGATTGCGAGGCCTGACGCGTTGAAGTGAGATTGACGGAGAGTTCCCCGCATTGACAGGTAGACCGGTGTGTGCGCATCAGATAGCGCGTCTCAGAAAGCTCCAGATGGTTCATAACCACTCTTTCTTGGGCAAGCCCTTCTTACCATATGATCACTGCAACCAAGACCTGTCTGACAGGCTGCTATAGAGCCCTCAGGAGATAACTGACATCGCCGCCCCCCCCCAACCCCTCCCCTGCTGTTAAAAAAAAAAGAAGAAAAAAAACCCTCCTTTTCTCCCCCAAGAACACTACATAATAGCCACCCGCATGTCGCTCCAGATCCCCAAAGGAACAGAACAGACTTTACCCGGAACTCACAATTACTTCTGTTGGCTAGGTGTTGTTATAGCAACAGCCACAATACACAACTGATTATGTAATCCCTGGGTAAAGCAAAAAAAAAAGGAATCACACACCTTTTCCAACAAGGACAGGTAGCAAAGAGTGAGATGAGGAGGAAAAAAAGGCAAAACAGTATGAAAAGCGTGTGTGTGTGTGTGTGTTCACTGTGGGGGCTGGCTGTAGACGTATCCTCAGTATGCATGATCTTATGCCACAGCTGAGAAACCTCAGTGAAAGTTCA